ATGGCTTTAAAAAAGGAAATTCTAAACATGAAAATTTGTTTAAAAAAGAAAATCAAAACATGAAAATAACTAAAACAAAACAATATGGAAAAAAGTTAAAAACAAACAAGGACATGACCTGGAAAAAGTGCTTAAAAATTATAATAATTCTGTAACATAATTCCAAATATTTTTCCCCATATTTTTTATTATTTAAAAAAAAAAAATCTAAATCTATATATTTTTGGCAAAATGTGGGACACTTTTTTTTTTTACCAGGTTGCTTATTGCCTTTTTCCCCATGAAGCCGCACCAGTTTTTTATTTAGTAGTATTTGCGAAAGGCGTCTGAAAGCAGCACAAGAAAAGTGATGTCACTTCAGCTTTCAAAGGGTTAAAAAAAATGAATTTTGTCCTCCTACTAATTTCTTGCAGAGTTTCAGGGTCATTTCTTCTGTTTTTGAAAGAAATCAAGCCAATGTGCTCAGCTTACAAAGGGTTAGCAAACAGCTGACTGATGATCTCAGCATCCCAAAATGCATCATGTTATAACTAAGCTTCAATTCACATTTAATCCAGTGTTGTTTCAATATTTATTCCATTAAAGGTTCAAGTCCTGAAACACTGTTATTTTTCTGCTTGTTTATTACTATTAATTTTCTGTTTTTGCAAATTCCCCTGAGATGGTACATCGTAAGTAGATGAAATTTCTCCAGTGATTGGATGTTTGAGATGAAATACTGCTCGACAAATATGATCTCAGTAGGCCTGACAGGGACGAAAAAATTAAGGTTCAAAAAATGCAATGCTGTTTAGATTTTCCGCCATTTCTAATATTCTGTATTATATATGGTAATATTCTGGGGGGGGGGGTTGTTGGTTTTTTTTGATCATCACGAGGCAAAGCTTATTAAAGGTTGTTGTTGCTACGTTATTTAGTTTTTAAAATACTGACCAATGAACTTTCAAAGAACCGTAGCTCAGCACATAATAGACCTACCTCCAAAGCCCTCGTCCCAATCATCACAAAACTTGCAGGATATATCCAGATTGATCAAATCAGTGAGCATCTGTCTGATCATCATAAAACCTGTCTTTGATAACCAAGACTTTGATAACTATGACAAGCTGGGAGGCACTATGCTAAGTTAGCATGTAGCAAGGTGGTTAGTAAACCATTACCAGACCAGGAATAGAAGATCCTCCAATACCCTACAGGTCTGGTGTTGGACCACTTTGGTTTTGCTGTGAATTATGAAGGCGATGGAGAGGAAGTGGAAGATAAAAAACAACGTCAGTGTCCAAGCCAGTCGCACAAGCACCCTTCACACCAGGGGGCGAGAGCTGCTGTGGCGGTGGCAACCTCTCGGTCAGCAGCTACTGTTTGGCGAGAAAGACTTAAAGGTACATTAGTGATGACTGTTTTGCTGGTGTTTATATGATTGTGGACTTTAACTGAGATGTTTTTTTAATGTATTTATTACACTGATAGATCTCAGAGAGCTTGTGGGATGTAACAGTCAGTGGGCGAAAGAAATGACATTGGTACCATGCACTCTAATGTCAGCTTTAATGTCAGCAGTAAATGGGCACTGACGTATGGCGCCATTACTGTTAAAAGAATTAAGAATTGAATTAAAACGCCGTTATAATTTTATTTTCAAGTGTAACAATTTGTGAAATTAAAAGACCTCTAAATATGTTGGATTTAAGACAGTAAATATTCAACTCTATTTGAAGTTATATGCTCTGAATTCCTGTTTTTGAATTTTCCAGTCGGCCATTTCAAGGTTTGCGAATAAAAAAACACATTTTTCTTCCAAGTTCACAAATTCAGATTAAAAAAATAAATAAATTCAGATTAAAAAAAAACATTCCTGGGTTTTTTATTTGCTCATCTGAACATGACTGTTAACATCTAAAAATGACCGGGTGAATTTACAGTAACTTACAATAATATCCTCTTACTCACGTGTGCTGGAGCTTTTGACTGCATCACATGGTCATCCTCAGCAGATGTAGCTCTCTCAATTGTAATTGTAGGAATGTTGGACACTTGAAATATTTTGTGATTTAAAAAAAAAGGAAAAAGTAGTTTTGCACAACTAACTAACATCTGGTCAGTCAGGAGCCTGGTGTTTATTGGTAGGTAATTTTGGTTTCCTGTGCACCTGCCTGTTTGAGTAAGGCCTCTTTGGGAGTCAGCTGATTTGATTTGAGTTAAATCAACACGCTGTCGGATGAGTTTTTGTGAGATGCCAGTCTGCCTCTACGTCCGTCCCTCAGTAGCCAAAGGGGGGATGATAAAAAATGTAAATGCCTCCTCTCTTGTCTCGGCCCGAGATGGACCTGACGTGATTTGCCCTCGGAAATATCTATTTTTCACGTCCTCATGCAGGGCCTTTTTTTATCTGAAGATCATCTGTGAGTGAATTCAGACACCTCGAGATTTGGCGTCGCAAATTATCTAATAAGAATGACCAATGAAATCACATCAATAATTAACACATTTTCCTGCTTGTATTCAAGCAACATATTCAACCTGCAGTAAAAGTATTTCTGTCAAGCTGCAATTTCATCAAAGTTAGTGTCATTAAATCTGACACTGGGCATTTATTCCTCATAGAACCACACTTATAAATAATTCAAACACTGAAGGATGCATTGAAACTATATATCTGGGAAAAATTTCGGCCTTATGCCAGGTATACTGACAAATTCTATAGAAACAATGCGAGTTTGGATGCTGATAGCAATTCATATAATCATGTATCATCATATCCTGATGGTGCTCCGAGGCACTGTTTGGAAAATTAACTAAATGCGATGCCTGAATTAATCTAAAGTAAAAATGGGTCGGATCTCCTTTAAAATTTAAAGACCAAAGTCAAAACATTTGTGTGAGTATGAATCAAATGAAGATACTGTGTGAATAAAGATACAAATGAAACTGTGGGCACAGAGAGAGAGAAACGTGACAGAGGGAGAGGAGTTGGATTTCATTCAGCCAGCATTTCCCACCGACTGACTTGTAACGTAAGCTGCTTGGTGTCTTCTGATCCATAGTCAATACCCCGTCAAAATCACCTGTCAAAGTTATTGATACCAGCATTGCTTCATATCATACGACTCAGTGTACAGTGCCATCTGTGAACCAAGCAAATAAAGATTCCTCAAACTTTCAGGGACGATGGAGTGGTGACTTCTGCACACTTAATATATCTGAAGTGATTATATTTTAAATTGCCTTGTTACCAACAAACAGGCAATCTACATTGCTCACAAAGGCCCAGGGTACAGTGCACTGTCATGGATATCTTGGATGCTTGTTTACGGCCTTGTGGCTCTGCCGGCCATGGATGAACCAAATTCATCCAGTCGTCTCCCTGGCAGTTGTGTTTGACCAGTGTATTGACTAATAGTTATTTTAAGTGCCCCGAAATTATAGAGGAACAATGTAGTTTGGCTGTTTGTTGGTAAGGAGGTCATGTTGAAATAAAATCACATCAGCAATTTTAAGCGATGCAGAAGTCGTCACTACATCTTCCCTATAAGTATAAGTTCTTCGTAAGATCCCAGATTGGTTCTCCCTTATTCCACACTAGCTATGCAAACTGAAAAGCTCAAAATCATACAAAAATAATCCAGCAGAAGCAATGCCATTAACATTTTGAGGGGTTTGAGGATTACAGTGTGACTATCTTCTTGGAAAAACATGGATTATTGGATAATTACGGCCATAAAATATGTTGTTTAAAGCAATGTTTCTAGACCACAATACATGACAAGAACATTGATTGAAACAAGTTCAACATGATAAAAACAGAAATTTGTTCGTTATATGTGATGGTGAAGACGATGACTATGAGGTGTGAAGGAGGAATCAGATTTACCAAAGAGTCCGCTGCCTGTCCGTCCCTTCCTCATCAGGTACATAGCCCAAGACAGGGGGCCAGAGTTGGAGAATGCCCCAGGGTTCATGCTTCAATCCTGGGTGCAGAAGCAGCTGGGGCCAAATTTCCAAAACCCAGAGGGAAGAGAAAAGAGGATATCAAGGGAAAAAATGATAAGATTAAGGCGGGGAAACAGCAAGAAGGAAAAGGGGCATTAAAGAAAGGGAAATTAACAAATGAATTAAGGTTGTTTTTTTGCGTTTTGTATGTCCAAAGTCCAAAACACTTTCAAAGAGAGCCAGAAAACTCATTCGGAAAGAAGAGCTTCAGCCTGTCCTCATTTTCACGAACTCCTTTTATACCCCTCATTCATCACCTCACCCCAACCTCACCCCTCCTTCCATCTCACCCTATATATTAGTAAAAACCAGGAAAAAAAGTGAGGGAGAGAGGAGGAGGAGGTGATGGAGAAGGAGGAGAGGAGCCAGTCAAGCTTAATTCATTCCCTCCTTCTCTAAAGCGTAGCCACAGGGGACGGGACTCCACTTTGCCCTCAGGCTCTCTAAAGCTGCTAATTTCATTTAGCTACTCAAATGATTTTCTCCCCT